CCCCCTCCCTCATCAGCGCAAAGAGCTATCAGGGTTCTCTGCCCTGTGGGAAGTCCAAGGACCTCCAACCTCCATCCAGGTCTAGTAAGGTGAGCATCCAAACTGCCTAGGCTCCCACAAAGCCAGTACATGCAGTAGGATCAAAAACCTATTGCCATTGTTCTTGAGTTCTCAGTAGTCCTCATTGTCCGCTATGTTCAGCAAGTCCGGTTTTATCCCATGCTTTTACAGACCTAGGCCAGCTGGCCTTGGTGAGTTCCCGATAGAATATCCCCATTGTCTCAGTGTGTGGGTGCACCCCTCACGGTCCTGAGTTCCTTGCTCATGCTCTCTCTCCTTCTGCTACTGATTTGGACCTTGAGATTTCTGTCTGGTGCTCCAATGTGGGTCTCTGTCTCTGTCTCCTTTCATTGCCTAATGAAGGTTAATATTCAGGAGGATGCCTATATGTTTTTCTTTGGGTTCTCCTTATTTAGCTTCTCTAGGATCACTAATTATAGGCTCAATGTCCTTTGTTTATGGCTAGAAATCAAATATGAGTGAGTACATCCCATGTTCCTCTTTTTGGGTCTGGCTTACCTCACTCAGGATAGTGTTTTCTATTTCCATCCATTTGCATGCAAAATTCAAGAAGTCCTTGTTTTTTACTGCTGAGTAGTACTCTAATATGTATATATTCCATACTTTCTTCATCCATTCTTCCATTGAAGGGCATCTAGGTTGTTTCCAGGTTCTGGCTATTACAAACAATGCTGCTATGAACATAGTTGAGCATATACTTTTGTTGTATGATAAGGCCTCTCTTGGGTATATTCCCAAGAGTGGTATTGCTGGGTCCAGGGGTAGGTTGATCCCGAATTTCTGAGAAACCACCATACTGCTTTCCAAAGTGGTTGCACAAGTTTGCATTCCCACCAGCAATGGATGTGTGTACCCCTTTCTCCACAACCTCTCCAGCAAAGGCTATCATTGTTTTTTTTTTTTTTTTTTGTGGCCATTCTGACAGGTGTAAGATGGTATCTTAAAGTTGTCTTGATTTGCATTTCCCTGATCGCTAAGGAAGTTGAGCATGACCTTAAGTGTCTTTTGGCCGTTTGAACTTCTTCTGTTGAGAATTCTCTGTTCAGCTCAGTGCCCCATTTGATAATTGGGTTGATTAGCCTTTTACAGTCTAGTTTCTTGAGTTCTTTATATATTTTGGAGATCAGACCTTTGTCAGTTGCGGGGTTGGTGAAGATCTTCAAAAGGACACTGTCACTAAGACAGAAAGGCAACCCACTGACTGGGAGAAGATCTTCTAATGGGTCTTTTAAAATCGGATCAGGTTTCCCTCCTGGCCAGGGGCTCCTCTTACAAAATGCCCTCACTCTGTTTCCTGGCTCCTGCTGGGGGGGCAAGATCCCTCTCACCCCTCAGAAGGGTCTTCAGGAACAGGACCAGGCTCCCTGTTTGCCAGGGATCTCGCCAACCAACCTCTTTGATTTAATTGTCGTGGGGCGATTTGCTCTCGGTGTTGCGCGCCAGTCCCAGCCTCCTTTGGCCTGCATCTGCCGCCGGTCCCCGCCACCTGAGGCCTGCATAGTCTGCCGCTGCGCCGGTCCCCCACGCAGGGTGCTTTGAACATGCACAAGCACGTGCCGGTTTGCACGCAGGTATTTATGACAGCAGTATTGGTAACTGTCAAAACCTGGAAGCAACAAAGCAGACTAAGGAGCTGCATGGCTAAACTCTGACTCATGCACCAAAGATACAAACTGCCAATGCCTAAAAGACACAGGAATACTGCATGTGCAATAAGAAAGGGAACAAAACCCTTGCGATGGCTGCACACTGTAAGATCCTGAAGGTAGACATTTTGGAAAAGGTCAAACTATGGAACACGGAGGAATTTTGTACTATGAAATTGTTCTGTGTTGTCCTGTGGCACTGAGGCAAACATGGAGCTGTTGTTCTCTGTGGTACTGCAATGGCAGACACATATCATTATATATTTGATGAATGGCAGGGCATTTGCAGACAGTGGCATGGAAATAGTACCTTAAAATACAGGCAGCATTTTTTTTAGTGCCTCTGTTTTTTGAGTTGACATTTAAAAGCAAGACAGCATCATGAATTTATATTCGAGTGAATATTCTTATTTAGGCTAGGAATACAAGAAAGTTCACCAAACAAAAATATTTTTGCAGCTCCCAAAAATATTTATTTCCAGGCAGCCACGTTTTCGTTTTTATGGTGCTGGTTGTCATTTTGAAGGTCAAAAGAGAGTTGACAAGCACAGACAGTCAAAATAGAGTTTAAAGAGGCAGGGGCAGAGAGAGTTCAGTCAGTGAAGTGCTTGCATCACAAGTGTTAGGGTTTAAATTCGATCCCCAGCACCCACAGAGGGTATGCCAGGTATGATGGCTCGGCTGCCATCCCAGGGAAGGCAGAGACAGGCTGATCCCTAATGCTTGCAGGTCCGACACTCCAGGCCAGAGATAAACCCTGCATCAAAACAGGAAGGTCCATTGACAGCTTCCTAAAGAATCACACCTACAGGTGTCCTCTGTCCCCATGTGCATGTGCACACATGTGCACGTGTACCTGCACATACATGAACATACACAAGAACTAACACTAGCACATCGTTTATCTCTTGAGAGTATTATTGGATGTCTTTAAGGAAGGCTCTCCCATCCCAGGAACAGCTTGTATGGTTCCATGTCTCCACTGCCTTCAACAGAGTTGCCCCCGTCTATACCTATGTGACTTATTCCTTATAAACACCTGGAAGTTCACAACCTTTGAGCACAGTAAGCACTGAGGTACGTGTGCCAGTACATTCCAAAGGGGAGCCTGCTCTGCATTTGCCTTGTGACATTGGTAATTCCACCACACAATTTGAGAAGGAAGTCTGACGGCACAAGGGAGCCTCATCTCGTTCCTGGTTGTTCTCTTCCACTTCTCTACCCCATGGTGTTCCAGGCCCTGTCTTGCCTTCCCCTCTCCATCTGTGCCCCGCTAGCCTCTGAGCAGGATTTCATTGTTAAGGAGAGACCCACAGGCATGGGAAAGGCCAGCATGGGAGCACGCCCCATGATACCTTGGTATTAGAGAAGCTGGGATAAGTGTCGGCTGGTACAGGTAAGTTGCCTAGGACTCATGCCCATCCCAGTATAGATATTGAGGATGTCTTGTGTAAAGACTGTCAGCATTTGGGGGTCTCATGGCATCTCTGGGTTGGGGTAGTGGCTGGCAGGTAGGCCTGAGAAGGGAAATATGACTTCCCTGAGCCTTTGAACTTGTATTTTACCTGGCTGAGTCTCCCAAATCATATAACAAGTCCTCCCCCATGGCTTCTCTTCATCTCTTTCAGGGACATCAAGGTCCCATACTTTTGTTTCATGAGGGTTCCTCCTTCGAGTCATCTCTTCAGAGCCCTCCATAGATTCCCCACTTTAGCCCCACGTCCCCTCCCCCTGGTCCTCATCAGAATCTCTTCCTTCTCTGTCACTACCCGTGACACCCAATACAGTCTATGTCACAAATTCTGGGATCTTGATCCTGTGTTCTTTGCCCCATTGGGCTTTAGTTAGCTCGTCTGGGACAGGGAAATGTATGGCTGGATTGTAGAGTGCTTCCGGTCCTGTCTTCCCAGGTGTCAACTCGGAAGGGTCTGGAACCAGCCAGGAGATGAGCCTCAGGCCTTGCCTGTAAGGGACTCTCTTGATTAGGTTAGTTGAAGTCGGACAATTCACCCTGAAAGTGGCAACATCATTCCCTAGGCTTGGCTCCTAGTCTACATACAAAGAAGAAAGCTAGTTGGGTACCAACACTCATCTTGCTCTACTTCCTGACTGCAGATGCCATGTGATCAAACAGCTTCCTGCTGTTTGCACCACACACACCTCCCCAGCTGCTATTGTGTTCCCCACTTTGATGGAATGAACCCCCTAGAACAGTAAGCCAAAACAAGCCTTTCTCCCTTAAATTGCTTTCTCCCCTTAAATTGTTATTTTTGTCACAGCAACAGGAAAATAACCAAGACACCAGGTGTAGACACTGGGTATGGACACCAGGTATAAACACCAGGTATAGACACCAGGTGTAGACATTGGGTATGGACACCAGGTGTAAACACCAGGTATAGACACTGGGTATGGACACCAGGTATAAACACCAGGTATAGACACCAGATGTAGACACTGGGTATGGACACCGGGTGTAAACATCAGGTATAGACACTGGGTATGGACACCAGGTGTAAACACCAGGTATAGACACCAGGTGTAGGTAGACACTGGGTATAAACACCAGGTATAGACACCAGGTGTAGACACTGTATGGACACCGGGTGTAAACACCAGGTATAGACACCAGGTGTAGGTAGACACTGGGTATAAACACCAGGTATAGACACCAGGTGTAGACACTGGGTATGGACACCGGGTGTAAACGCCAGGTATAGACACCAGGTGTAGACACTGGGTATGGACACTGGGTGTAAACACCAGGTATAGACACCAGGTGTAGACACTGGGTATGGACACCGGGTGTAAATGCCAGGTATAGACACCAGGTGTAGACACTGGGTATGGACACCGGGTGTAAACATCAGGTATAGACACTGGGTATGGACACCAGGTGTAAACACCAGGTATAGACACCAGGTGTAGGTAGACACTGGGTATAAACACCAGGTATAGACACCAGGTGTAGACACTGGGTATGGACACCGGGTGTAAACACCAGGTATAGACACCAGGTGTAGACACTGGGTGTAAACGCCAGGTATAGACACCAGGTGTAGATACGGAGTGTGAGGCCACACAAAGCAACGTGTGCTGAGGAAGAGCTACCCCAGGATCAGGGTTTAGTTTTTGTTTGTTTGTTTGTTTGTTTTTACAGCAGAGAATGAGCTGGAGAATCTTAAAGATAAACGCCAAAGCCCTACCATGTATCAGAGACAGTGCTGGGAGGATGGCCAGCTCCCATATATGAAGAAATAGATCAAGCCCCAAGAGAACCGTCACCATCCATTACTCAGAAAGTCTCCTTTGTTCCGTGCAATGGCCTAGAGGTTTGTGTTCCTCAGAACTCTTGTGTGTTAAACCCTAATCATCGATGTGATGGAGTCAGGAAGTGAAGCTCTGGGGAGGGGGGGGGAGGTTAGCTCTCTGCTGTCATGAGCGGGGATCAGTGTCTCCATAAAAGAGATTCTGAAGACTGTGTAGAAATAAAGCCAGACGGTGCCTGTCATGAACCAGGAAGTCGGCCCTTCCTAGGCCCCAGCTCTGATGGTGAATTGATCGTGGACTTCCCAGCCTCCAGAAGTCTAAAAGGGATTTGTCTGCTGTTTATTGGTCACTCAGCCTGGAACTTCACAATAACAACCAAAGAGACAAGGACGGCTCATTCCCAGGAAATGTGTCATTTACCTCTGAATTATCTCAAACCATCTCTTTAAAGACAGTTTATTCATATTAGGGTCTAACAGAATCCAAACACTGCATTCAATTGTTCTATTTATAATCTAGCAAGACATCCTTTCTTTTTCCTCTTTTTTTTTTATCTGAAAGAAACTGGGCTAGTTCTCCTACAGAACAGGTGGCTTTGAGTGTCCAAGACTAAAAGAGTTGAGGCTTGGGATGCCGTCATGGAAGACAGCTGGGCTTCACAGAGTATCTTGGAATGAAAACCTATTTCCTGTGGCCCTCTGTCATTGGAACCCTCACTTTATCCCCCAGAATTTAATCAGAAAATTCCTATGAGTGATACAGACTGCAGACATTTAGGGAAATCAAGTCTCACATCGTAGTGAGAGTGTGTTAACCAATCTATATACTGTGGCATTTTCCATGCCTGGTACATAACTCTTCAGTGCCAGGAGTTGGAAAGGAAAGATGGATGTGAAGTGAACAAGCAACAACAAACCAGACTCTAGGAAGACAGACTGGCATCCCAAAAGACCATTTTGAACTCCTGTTTGTCTCACTGTCCTTTAGCGACCTGAAGGGTTAGCTGGCACTCAGAGATCCCAATACCACCTGACCCAGGACTAGAAGTCACCAAGAGCTAAGGCTGTGGACATAGGCAACAGAGAACAGCAGTGACGTGCCTGGGTCTAAGGCAACCTTCGGGGCTTAAACATGGTGGCTGTTCCAAATTCTACAAGTCTCTCTGTGGTCAGCCCAAACCTGGGACCATACAGGGGAAAAGTCCTTCAAGTTTTTGGCTAAGTGACATTTGCATAGGAAACAGCCACTAAACTTTATACTTCCCCACCCCTGTGGTGCTAGGAACTAAACACGGCCAGGCCAGCTCTACATGCCGGATCTCATCCTCAGCCTTAACCTACCATTCTGAGGATGACTTTCATAGGAATGTGGCCAAGATAATAGCCAGTCACTCCCTCTTATCATAGGGAATATGTTCTAAGACCCTCCCCCCAATCTTAGAACACCCAAAACTTCAAATAGTAGCAAACTCTATAGTGTGAGGCCTTTTAGTATTGTTTATTATGCAGTGTGGTCATGATGTTTGTAGTTTGAGGTGTCATAGCAAAATCATCATGGATTTCTTTTATCTTCTTTAAATTTCACAGTGAGAAGACTCTCTGTACCACAGACCTCAGCAACTTCATTCCACGTATTTTTTAAGTCAATAACTTTCCATATTTTGCATAAAGGATTCACTTTATGACTTTTCTTTGGCCTATCTGGACTGCCAGAATCACCATGCTTGATCCTTGGGGTCACTGTTTAGAAAATAAGGATTCCTTGAACATTAGTCCTGATACCAAGAGTGTTCCAAGTCACTTGTGGGCGGGTGGCATATGAGGCATACGCATTAGATAAGGAGATTCTGCACACTCGCGGCATGAGAGAGCTGGATAGCACAAGATTTCCTCATGCTAGCCAGAATAGTGTGTAATTCAAAACGTACAAATGCTTTGTTTCTGGAACTTTCCATCAGACATGTATGAGTCATGGTTAACCAAGGATAACTGAAACCACGGGAGGCAAAACTGCGGGTGCCGGAGCAGATCACAGGTATGCAGTTGTGGTCAGTCCAAGGCCCCTTCTGTTCAAATTCATGCTTCCTTTGCCCTGAGGGCTAACAATGATGTGGTACAAATGGATGCGGTCAGGAGCCCCGCAGCTGTCTTAGTGAAGATATGTCACTTTGAGAATAAGCTCCTCTTCTCAGCAGGAATGTGGCCTGCATCCTATGACAAGAGAATGCAGCCAAGCAAGTGTATAGACACTTGAGCCTTCTTCCTACTTGACTGGGAACAAGAATTCTGGGGTGTTTTTCTCACAAGCAGTAGAAATATCCCTCTCATTCTACTTCCCCAACATGGTTTGGGGGCTGGAGAGACAGCACTGCAGTAAGGAGCACTTGGTTTTACAGGGGACCCTGGTTCAATTTCCGGCACACACAAGGTGGCTTATGATGATGTATGACTCCAGTTCTTGGGGATCATGTGTCCTCTTCTGACCTCTCTGGGCACCAGGTATGCATGTGGTGCACAGACATACATGCACACAAAACACTCATACATGTCAAATAAATCACTCAAAAAAGATAACAAAAATAACAGTATTGACAGGCATTTTTTTTTTTTTGGACAGGCATTTTTTTTTATATTTATTTATTATGCATACAATGTTCTGCCTGCATGTATCCCTGCAGGTCAGAAGAGGTCAACAAATCTCTTTACAGATGGTTTTGAGTCACCATGTGGATGCTGAGAATTGAACTCAGGACCTCTAGAAGAACAGCCAGTACTCTGAGCCATCTCTCCAGCCCTTGACAGGCATTTTTTAGATTGTGTTTGGTATGTGCCATGCACTGTTAAACTCACATAGCAGGCATGCTAGGGCTAACTTACCAGGCCTGGAAGGATCAAAAAGGAAAAAAAAAATGGTTCAATGACAAAAGTTAATATTATTAATACAAATTATCCCTGATAGTTTTCAAGATCCCACAAAATCACATTTTATAGAAAATCCTCAATGTCCGCTTTCATAGAAACAGGAGTTTCACTAAACACCAACATTACATAATTCAGGTCTGGGAGATCACTCATCAAGTGGGTGAATTCAGGGCCTGGGGGATCACTCCTCAAGTGGGTGAAGGCTGGTGGCCTGAGTTTGGTCCCTTTACATGGTGTAAAGAACAGATCCAGCTCCCAAAAGTTGTCCTCACACACACACAGGTGGGGAGTGAGGAGAGAGAGAGAGAATAAGAAATAAAGACTATTACACACTTCAAAGGCTTTGAGCCTCTCTCATCAAGAAGAATCTATTTCTTACACCGAGAACTGGGTATTAACTACCTCTGTGACTTGCTTTGGAAAGCGACCAATTGCCAGTGCTGAGCTCAGTACTCAAGAACACCAGAATCGCTCTTAGAATCTAACCCTGTTGTCATGGCGCAGGACTAAAGAAGGGAGGCCATATGGACGGAGGCCTCAGACGAGAATCGCTGAGGCCCCAGATGTGTGTGGCTAGGAGAGAAGAGCCAAGCACAGGTCAGTCAGATCCACGATTAACTGAACAAACTGTTGTTTTTAGTTATTTGATTTGGGGGAAGTTTGTTATGAATCAAAAATAGATGCAGAAGGAGAAGGCAAAACTAGACTTTTTTTTTTTTTTTGAGGCATGGTCCTGCTGTGTAGCTCAGGCTAACCACAAACTAGGAATGCCCCTGTGTTAGTCCAAGTTCTAGGCTCACAGGCATGCACCACCATACCTCACTAAAACTTTGTTTCTGTCATGCTGTACACACGCGTACACACCTGCGCTGTGCGTATGGACGCCAGAGGTCAATATTGGTGTGGGTGTCGGGTTCCTTTCCATGGTTGCTTTCCACCTTTGTTTTTGAAACAGGGACTCACACCGAAACTGCAGCTCATGGATTTGGCTAGGCTGCCTGACCAATGTGCTTCCGAGATCTGCATACCCCTCTGCCCCACCTCCACTCTGGGTGTGTAAAAGTACACCTACAAGCCTGACTTTTTATGTGGGTGCTGGAGATCCACACTCGGGTCCTCATGCTTACATGACACGTTCGCCTAGACTCCGAAGCTGTATTTTTTTTTTTCTCCGATCCGTCTCACTGTGTAGTTTTGGTTGTCCTAGCACTTACTCTGTAGACCAGGCTGGCCTCCAACTCACAGAGATCCACCTGCCTCTGCCTCCCAAGTGCTGGGATTAAAGACATATACCACTACTCTCAGTTTAAAGTTGTATTTTTAAATTTACCTAAATGCTTTGGCCTCTTTTATGTTTTTCCCCCAGAAACTCCATCTGTCATTTTATTTTTTAAACTCAGGGCCTTCCACGTGCTAGGCAGACACTCTACTATTGAATTATATCCCCAACCCTAAGGCCCTTTTCTGCACACCGATAGTCACCTCTGACTCTGCATGCTGGACAGGATTTAAGGAGTACCATTTTAGACAAATAGATTTCCTCTTTTAATAAATACATTTTTTATTCTGAGAGAAAATCATGATGTGTAAAAACTTAATATAAATAAATAAATAAATAAATAAATAAATAAATGACACAAGCAGTCCATAAGCGGTGTTCACATTTATAGTTTTTTCTTTTAGACTATTTTCTACTATGTACTATTAGATATAATATATAAACGTACAAGTATCCCACTTTTCTTCCTCATATGATTCTTGCTTATATATTCTTAGTTATCAAGATTATCAAAAGCATAACTGCTTATTTTGTTTTTTTTTAAAGCGTAACTTCTAAGAGGTATAACCGTCCATCATAAAATGATGTCATTACCAGACTGCCTTTCACTGGTAAACATTTACGCAGTTCCAGTTTTTTTGCTGTCACAAGTAGCAAAGACTTGAGTACCTAATTATCTTTGCTCGTATCCCTAAGTAGAACAGAGACTTTACTAAGGAAGAGAGACTTACTGGGTTAAGCAAAGTGAATATTTAGTTCTTTGTGGCATATGAAAACCACAAATGGGGTTGGAGAGATGGCTCAGTGGTTAAGAGCACTGGCTGCTCTTCCAGAGGACCTGAGTTCGATTCCCAGAACCTAC